GGGAGTTTGTATTCTTGTAGGGTGTGAAAGACAATAAACTAAATAAACTCAGTTTCCTTCCACAAGATTATGTAAAGGAGTCACAAGATGTCTATAGAAGATGATATAGTATAGCCAGAAGGGCACAGGCTTTGATGTCAGGATTCCTAGGTTTAAGTCCTGGCTCTGCCGCTTCCTAGCTGTGTGACTCTGGGAAAATTACTCAATCTCTCTGAGCTTCCATTTCTTCAAGTGTAAAACAGGAATAATAATCCCTATCAACCTAGATTGTTAGGATGAATACATGAGATAATCTATGTAAAGCCCAAAAAGTAGTAGAACGCCATGGATAGGAACACTATTACTATTGCCATATCATCATTATTATTAATATCATCATCATCATCATTATCATTATTATTGATGCTGTTGCCCTGAGGCTACCCTGAGTCCTCATAGCCTGTGATTCCCTGAAGAAATACTGGTTTCTGAGTCACAGATGATGGGGGTGTCTTCCAGGGAACCCTTTTACTCAGTCCGTTCAGCCATCTGGCAGGACCCCCTTTTCACATGCCCAGTACAAGTGGTCCCTTCTACTGGAAACAGGCCATCTCATCTCCTAATTTGCTGAAATGACACGTGGACCCTTTCCGCTCACAGGAGCAAGAGAAGCGAGTCAGGAGGGAGCTGGGTTGAGGAGAATGTGGAGCCCGAGGAGCTGTGTGCAGCTGCAGATTCAATCACAATTAACAAAAGCCACCTGGGGAACCGGCCGTGCTGGGCATGACTGGGGCCCATTTGTTTGCAGGCTGTGGGTTGCCAGGGCTTTGTTAGCAGCCCTCAGCGCGGGCCCCGCAGGAAGACTTTATTTGCTTTTCCTGTATGCCAGCCCTGTCGGGCAGCCTTCACTGTATAACCTGGCCTACATCTGATGACTGTGTTCAGAGTGGGGCCCGGTTCGTGGAGGCTGGGAAGATTTGAATTTTAATCAGAATGTTCTTTCACCCTTAACACTGCTGCTCCCAGGCTAGTGAATTTCCTTCCCCGAAACCCTTCAACACACACATACACACACACTCCCCTTTATACTTCTCATGCCCTTTTCACAGTTCATATATTTATGTGACATTTTCTTTAAATGTGGTTTTATAGATATGAGAGAGGAAGAGAGAGGGAGAAAGAGAGAGAAACATCGATGTGAGAGAGAAACATTAATCAGCTGTCTCCTGCACACACCCCGATTCCCAGTCAGGGCACATGCCCCGGTTGTGGGCAACCTGGGCATGTGCCCTGACTGAGAATCGAATCTGTGACCTTTCGTTGCATGGAAGGGCGCTCAGCCAACTGAGCCACACTGGCCTGGGCCATGTGCCATTTGACCACGTCGGCCTCTCCTGGGTATTGGAAATGTCAAGCAGGTCAGGTGCTCTGTTCACTCCGGCTGACATGGCTTCCCCACAGTGTGGGTCCCTCTTACAGTTAGGTCGTTGGATTTAGCAAATGAAACCACAAGATGCCCACTTAAATTAGAACTATGAATAATGAATGATTTCCAGTTAAAATATGTTCCGTGCAATCCTTGGGACATATACTGTGAATTATTGGTTATTTATCTGAAGTTCAGATGTAACCGTACATCCTGTATTTTACCTGGCAACCCTAATTACAGCTTGTCTGTGATGCTCAGTAAACACATACACGAATGAAGAAGTGAACAAAGCTAATGCATGATCAAAAACAGAAAACCAAATGCAGATATTTTACTGGGAAGTACACAGGAACACCTTAGGGGTGATTATTTCAAGGTGATAGGATTATTGCAAAATTTCTGTTTTTCGATGTGATTTTGTACGCTTTTCAATTTGACTGACATGAGCAGAAAAGTTTTCAAATACCATATAGGTACGTACTATCTTAAACAAAATAAACCTGCTTACAAAGGAAACAATGTGTGTTTTCCCTCAGCCTGAAACCCAGAATTTTCTGAACACATCCCTGTGATAAGGGACATTTTGGGAATACATGAGAAGATTATTGAAAGCAATATTGAGAAGCATATTCTGCATATCAGTAAACTAGAGTAAACTAGAATACACAAAGGGGTACAAGGAGTTCAAAAAATATTGCTGCTATTTTACTAACTGTACGGTACTTAAGAAAATTGGCTCCTGAAGCTTTGGGAATGTAAAAGTAAGTCCAGTTAAACCCAAGACACAAATCTTGATTAATTGTACATAACATACTGGGGATGCTTTGATTTTTTTTGTTTGATTTGCAGAATGAGGGTGGAAAACCAAGTAAGACAAACATAAGCTCTTATAGAGAATGAGTTGAAGACCCCTCCTTCCCCCTCCCCCGACAACTTCCCATGATGCCTTGTTCCAAGCATCATTTAAATGTACTTTGGGTGTTTAATAATGAGCACGTTCAGAATGCTTCACCTTAATGGGGCAAGGAAAGGAACTAGAATCTGTAAGATGCTTACTACGTGCTGGGCACTGAGCATAGCACTTTGTCTCATTTCATTCATAAAAACAACCCAAGTCATACCCATTAACCCTACCTTACAACAATGTGACTTAATGATAAAGATTGCTCACAATCACACCTCCAGAAGTATTGCAAGGTGCTGGAGAGTTGTGGAAAGAGTGACTTACATTTACTGTGCTGTACTTACTAAGGCAGACAGCATTTTTTAAAAAATATATTTTTATTGATTTAAGAGAAGAAGGGAGAGGAAGAGAGAGATAGAAACATCAATGATGAGAGGGAATCATTGATTGGCTGCCTTCTGTGTGCCCCACACTGGGGATCGAGCCCGCAACCCAGGCATGTGCCCTTGACCGATATCGAACCTGGGACCCTTCGGTCAGCAGGCTGACACTCTGCCCATTGAGACAAACCGGCTAGGGCCAGACAGCATTTATTAGAAGATCTTTAGCTCAGGGTTTGAAAGACAAAGGTTTTCTGCTGTACCTTGAGGAATTGTACCCCTCCCAGTTTTCAGTTCTGAACGTAGGGCTAGAATCATGGGATGAGGGGTGGGGTGTCTCTTCTCTCTCCTCTCTCAATGTTAATGGTGCCCAATGTTCCACTGTGAGACTCAGTGTGAGAAGACGGAAGGACAGGGTAGACGTCATGTTGTCACCAAGTCAGCGCCCATGGAGAACAGAAAGTCATCTGGAATGATACCATGTCAGCAGATTGCAAAGTCTGCAAACTGTGGCTAGCTTAAAGTCTCATAACACCCACCCATGTGGTAGGAAAAAAAACAGGATTAGAATGAAATCAGCCTTACCTACTCAGTGATGAGAGACAAGCAGGGACTGGTAAAAGGCTAAGTCTGTCTTTATGAAGGGCTCCTGGTCTTAAAAAGAGAAAATTAGTTGAGTGAACTTTGAAAGAAAGAAAATTAGACTTTGGACAAAAAGAGCCTGTGAAGTGAGAGCACTTCCTCATTTTCAGGTGGAGAGAGATGGAAAAAAGGCAATTTGATGATGATTGCTAAGGATGGGGAAGTAAGAGCTGCCTCCATTTAACTCTTTCCATGGCAGCGTGTTCAATGGGCCACTCTAAAATACTGCCTGAATACAGGAGCCTGAGCCAAAATTAGACCCTCCCATGTCTCAGTCGTGCAGAAGCTATAATAGACCTGTTTCCAAGCCACACGGAACCGTCTTCTATTCAATGGCAGTGGATAGCATTTGAGCAAAGTGCATAGTAAGTGAAGTGTGTTCATTAAAGGTGGAGAGAGACAGGTTTCATGCACTCGTTCCTCCAGAGGAATGTCCCTAAATGCACAGTGACATGTCAATTATTTTTCCATTAGTATTCGCTGGATAAAGACCTTTTTCTTGCCTTTGCTGGCAAGGAAGCACTGCTTGGTATGCATATTTAAATGACAGTCCTACGGAATTAGCTTTAAGAATTGGCTCTGAACATAATGGCTGCCTTCAAATGTAGAGGAAAATGAGACGGCCACAGAAAGACCTCCACACACAAGAAAAGAGCAGGAAGTCACAGATAAGGCAAGCCTCGCCATTTTCTAAGCGTGGGGTTGTAATAATGGCTTTGAAAACAGATCACTTAAGGTAGCTCCAGCTCTGTTAAAACCTATATGGAGAGAAAGGCAGCACCTATCCTCGCTTCAAGGAAATCAGCTTTATTGCCAATCATTTGAAAGTATGTTTTTATTTTATTTTAGAGAGAGCGGAAGGGTGAGGGAGAGGGAGACAGAAACATCTATCTATGAGAGAGAAACATCGATCAGCTGCCTCCTGCCCACCCCCTCCTGGGGATTGAGCCTGCAACTTGGCATGTGCCTTGACTGGGTATCAAACCAGAGACCTCTCTGTTATTGCCAATCATTTAAAGGAGAAAGCCCTTAGCACAAGTTCTATAGATCAACCTCATGTCAGCCAGTGATGCCACATTTTGTACCTAAAGTCTCTGCCCCACGGTTAATGGGGGAAAGTATCTAATGAGTGAGGAGACATCTGAACTCATTCCTTCAACCTATTTAATTACAATGCTCTTAAAAAATAAAACTTGATCTCAAGGGCAAGAGAAACTGTGACAACTAGACCAAGAAGTACTTATTGGTGACAATAAAACAGCTATTTTGTTTCATTATCAAGTCAAAGACACCGAGGAGAATAAAAATCCTTGAGGAAGATCCTAAGAAGGACTTTGCAATTGCACACCTAGAAATCAAGGTACGCTCATACCACAGTATTGGGGTGAAGACGGGGTATCTCCATTCAGAGGTGCAATAAAACCATTCACCACAGCCCTGGCCCATGTGGCTCAGTTGGTTGGACATCATCCTGTCCACCCAAAGGTTGCTAGCTGGATTCCCTATCAGGGCATATGCCTGAGTTTCAGGCTCGATCCCCCTGCCGGGGTGGGGTTGTGCAGGAGGTGGCAGATCGATGCTTCACTCTCACATCAATGTTTCTCTCTCTCTCTCTTCCTTTCTCCCTCTTTAAGAAATCAATTGAAATTTATATTTAAAAAACCACTTACCACAAATTAACCAGGAAAGGGTGCTCCAGACCCTGCATGATCTGCAGTTCCTTGAAGACATTTCTCACTTCATTGCGCTCGACACACTTCTGTTTGTTCATGTATTTCATTGCATACATCTTCTTGGTATCATTCTTCTGAACGATGCAGACCTATTGGGGCAAACCAGAGTGAGAAAGTGATTAGGGAGATGACGGATCATAGTGATGAGCGACAGAACCAGATGCGTTCTTCAGCATGGCTTGGAGGCCTTATCACTTGCAAATTCTTTGATGCTAAAGTTGCCACTTAGTTCTGATTTCAGAGTAAAAAAACTTCATTTTCTTCCCATGTACACGATCAATTCCTAAATCTTTGCTTTCTCAAACGAATTTGCCTGTTTTTGCTTTGGGAACTTTTTTAAAACAGCATTTTGGAGAAAATAGCTGCCTCCTTGTCAGGAAACTTCCCATAGCAAATGCCATCCTCGTTCTGCTTGAGTGACTTAAATGAATGGGCAAAGCTGTCAGGCTGAATGATATTGTGCAAAGAATTTCTGTTTGTGCCCATAAGTGATATAATGAACCAAAAAAGACTTTTCAGAAAGGGATAACATGAAACACGATGTCCATATTTTTGACATATTTTTAGAGGTTCATATAAAGCCTGATAATGTAGACAGCAATACTTTTAAAATGCAAGTTCAATATGAAATATTCTCAAGATACATCTCCACTAAGAAGCTAATAATCAGGGTTTGAATCTAGAAGTTTCTTCCAAAAAATTAGACTGTATATGTATATTTGTCATGGTAGGATTTTTTTAAAAATAAAAACATGGTACGACTTGGGAAGAACAGAAATCAGGTGGCATCTTTCCCACATGAAAAGGTTTAATGCTTACATTGACAACTCTGAATTATTCCTGGTGGTCCCAGTAACTCAGTAATCTGAACATCCTGGACTCTGTTCCCTGGGCTGCATACCTATTAATCATTTGGATTCTCACCTTCCCAAAACTGCCTTTCCCAATGGCTCGCAGAATTTCAAAGTGGTCAAAGTTGACTGTAAGACAAACAGAAGAACATTATAAGTGATTATCAGTTGTCTTTTAGTAGCTAATAAATAATAAGTAAAGATTGGGCTAAACCGAAGTACCTTGTTTAAAACAAGATTCCAGACTAGCTTAAAATGCCCATTCATTTATTCAATAAGTATCTCTTGAACATTGTATTATATAATGCCGTAATCACAGTGCTTAGTACTGGAGGATACAGTAATAATAGAGTAGAAATCTAACCTCTACCCATATGGAGCCTGTGGTCCTGTGAAGACTCCACACAGAAAGAAACCCTTAAGGATTAAACAGTCGCAAAAATAAGTGGACAATGAAAACTGCTGCTGAATGTTAGGAAGGATAAAGTTGTGGGGCTTTAAGAGAGTGTACTGGGATTTCACACAGGCGACAAGGTCAGGGGAAGCATCTCTGAACACAGATGTTTATGGAGAGATCTGGTCCCCTGTGGATCTGGTCCTACTAAGGATCAGCACTTCGAATATCTTCTCCCTGCCTATTCCCCCCACAACCAACCACTCTTTTGTATCTTAATAATTTTCATTTTCCCAAGTAGAAAACTATTACACTCATAAGTTCATAGAATGACCTGATCCCTAAAGGACATTCCTATGAGATTAGCATGAACATGTGGACAGAGGCTACTGAATGGGGCTATGAAATGCAGATGATCTTTTACACCTGCCATTTTAACACTTCAGCACCGAGAAGTCAAAAGCAGTAGCTGTGTATAGGTGGCGTGGTCTCTTGGGTCAGTGCTCATGAAATGCTTGGTGATGAGAAGAGCCAAGTATAGATTCTCTTAGGTGACAATTTTTGGTTTCTTGCCTTGATGATTTTGAGGAAACATTCCACTTGTTTCCTGGTTTTTGAAATAAGGATTTAGATGAGTAAAATTCCAAATGAGGAATTATAAGAGCTTATTCGGAAAGGGTTGGGAAACACTAAAAGGTACCACTCTTCTTTTTAAAAGATGTTCGTTCTCTCTCTCTCTCTCTCTCTCTCTCTCTCTCAAAATAATTACACTATCTCTTCCTGAAGGAAAGAGAAATAAGGGGACCTCTAAAGGTTTTTCCAAGCTTTCTGAGGGTCAAAACATGTCTATAATATAACCTATGGATGAAAAAGGGGCCACATACTAAACCTGACAGGCTCAGGGGGGCCTGTATGGCGGGTCTTACAAACTCAGAGACCTAAAGTAACCACATAGGATGGTCTGAAATGAAAACTTCCTAGCCCAGCTGATGTAGTTCAATGGTTGAATATCAACCTGTGAACCAGGAGGTCGTGGTTTGATTCCTGGTTAGGGCACATGCCTGGGTTTCAGGCTCAATCTCCCAATCCCTGGTAGGGGGAATGCAGGAGGCAGCTGATGGATGATTCTCTCTCATCATTGTGTTTCTAACTCTCTCCCCCTCTTCCTTCCTTTCTGAAATCAATAACAATATATTCAAAGAAACAAACAAAAAACTTCCTAACTAAAAGCAAGTCATTGTGGGAAATAATATCCTAGGCAGGTATTTTCTTTGACAAAGGACGATCATTACCTTATGTGAGCCTGTCTATTGTCATTTTTGCATCTATAATAACATAACTTTGGAATGTCAGAGTGATCCCATTTTTCCAGATCACTCTACAGCCTCACACCAGAGCACAGCTCCCAGAACCCCTCATGGTTATCTTCTTCTCCTGCATACTCTCTCTATATGCTGTAAATGTTAATTGTTAATTATCCTATACCCACCAAAGTATGTGTCTGTTTTACTTTTTATCCAATCTCAAGGTTTCTCTACTTTGCTTTCTCCCTACTCTACCACCAATAGATTTCATGTAACCTCCTTACATCTTCCCCTTTGATTCTGATGTACAAAATAACTGGTAAAACTGCCATTTTCTGGAGCATTTTGTCAGTCCATTGAGATTTTGCTTCCCAGCAATTGTCGTAAGTTTGGCTCAAGTAAACTCATAAACATTCACTACAGGTTTGAATGTTCCTTACATCAATAGACTTGATCATCACTTTCTCCTCTAAACTCCCAAATCAATTCATTTCTACCACTAAAGCCATTTAATCATGTGAGGCAGCATGTACATTGCAAATAATCCTGGTTTTAGACTCAAAATAGTGAAGTGACTTGACCTAGCCAATGTGGCTCAGTTGGTTGGAGCATCATCCTGTGCACCTAAAGGTTATGGGTTCAACTCTTGGTCAGGGCACATACCTAGGTTGGGGGGTCGATCCCCAGTCAGGGTTTGCATGGGAGGCAACTGATCAATGTTTCTCTCTCACATCGTTGTTTCCCCCTTCTCCCTCCCTCCCTGTCACAAAGCCACACTCAATACTTCAGTGGAAAAGTGGGCAGAATCAACCCACCTGAGTCTGCTCAGTAGCATTCATGTAAATTCAATATACACCTTTTTGAGCCTGGACCCAGGCTCTTAACCACTATTTTTATGGTTGTCTTAGTGTTATTATCGCACATCTACCTATCCCAGAGGCAGAATCAGGGGGAACAAGGTGGAATTTCTTCATCTCTCCTTTTAGAATCAGATGAGCCAGGTCAGGTTTTTCTGAGTCTTTCTCTAACACAAACATGCTGATTGTGGAATCCAGGGCTGATGTTTTGATTTCCTTTGCTTTACTTCTCATACCATCTCCCCATTCTCAACATTCTGCGCAATAAACAGTGTTGAAGGAAAGAAAAGGGGAAACCCTCTTTACAGTTTATTGTAACACTCAGACACTTGAAATTTGGAAAAAGAGCATTCTAGAAGATAAAGCAGATACAATATGGTGGTTAAGAGCGTGAAACTCTGGGTTTGGGTTCTGGCCGGACTACTTACTAGCTATGAACTTGAAGTAAATTATTTAAGCTTTCTGAGTTTTAGTTTCTTCCTATGAAAAAAATTGGTCATATACAGTATCCCTTCTAAGGTTATTATGAGGACTAGGTGAAATAAGATGTATCAAAGGTTCTTATTTAGGTATTTTGGGGAGAGAATAAGAACTCAATAAATATACCACTATTATTGCTGGAATTTTTTGTAATTGTTACTATGTGAGTCATCTTAATATCAGCCCAGAATATCATTTGCCAAAACATTAGGCTAAATGATGTTGTGACTTCGCACAGGACAAATTGCCAAGAATGTCACTTCCCTGAAGACAGACACTAGCCTGCCCTGTTTATCTCTATATCTACATTGCCTGGAACCCCTTGGGCAAGTAGCAGGTGGTAAACCCTTGTTACGTGGAAGAAGGAGGCAATAAAGTACCATCAGCAAAGTTTCCCAGAATATAAAGCTATATTTGAAGAAAAAATTTAAAGATAGTTTTTTCCACGTTGACTTCCTAGCATATCATCATTTATAACAGGTACTTCCTAAGAAATGTCGTACCAACAACTTACTATCAAACGGCTTGTTAATGTGCTGGGCAATAAAGTGGGCTTCCATTGGAATGTTATTATAATACTGCAACTTCAGATTCATCTGGAGAAAATGGATTTATACCTTAAAAGCCTCAAGGATTGACTGACTTTCTGAGCTCAGAAGCATGGAGAGCTGCCATTCTCCACCCCACAAACTTCAGTGACCAGCTATCCTAAGTGAGGCCATGGATGCAAACCCCAGGAACTGCAGGTAATTAACAGGAGGAGTCAGAGGGCATTTGCTTTGTCAGCACTGCATCGTCTTTGAACAGAAATCACTGTATCATCCTATGCAACACAAAGGAGCCAACATTAAGTGACAGTCTTCCAAACACCTTGTCCAAATGAAGAGGGAATCAGTGCCTCTTCTACAACCTGTCACTTTGCCCATTTTTAAGAAAAAGGACAGAAATAAATTAAGGCTTTCCTTACAAATATAATTCTTTCAGTGGATTTTACAGTTTTCCATTAATTAGATGAATGAATGTTTGGTCATCATGCGACATTCCCAATGGAGGCCTTTGCAAGGAAAGGCTCGCTTATACCCTTTTAAGATAGTCACAGTAAGAGGGGGGAAAGCTAGCCACTTCTCCAGAAGCCACAGCTTTGCTAGTGAGTCAAACCAACAAATATTCATTCAACGTCTGTGTGCCTAGGACTCTGCTAGGCACTGATGATAAAACAAAAGGAGCCCTGGCTGGTGTGGCTCAGTTGGTTGGGCATCGTCCCGTGCACTGAAAGGTTGCGGGTTCAATTCCCAGTCAGGGCATATGCTCAGGTTGTGGGCTTGATTCCCCGGAAGGGGGCATGCAGGAAGCAACCAACTGATGCTTTGCTTTCACATAGATATTTCTCTCTCTCTCTTTTCCTCTCTCTCTCTCTCTCTCTCAAAATTAAATAAATAAATAAAAATAAATAATAAAACAAAAGGAGCTTGGGACTAAGTCACATCCTCAGAAAACTGTGACTCATTCAGCAGTATTTGTGAGAACATTAAACTAGCTAATCAAATACACCATACCTCATTTTAACTTATTTTATTTTGCCATAGTGTGTAGTGTATGTATCTTTGGAATCCAATCTTTCCTCTTTCTGGAAGTAGAGAATTAGATAAGTATAAATAGGTACATGGGCAAATACAGCAGACAAATAACAGCCGCAGACTGTTACTATTTGGCATAGAAGGAGGCTCTCTGGACCTGCAGAGATGGGAAAGAATATTGCGCCATGAAAATTTTGCTTCTTGGTTTTTGATGATGATTGAAAGCTTTGATGAAAGATACATATTATTTGGGTCAGACAGAATTGCATTAGAATCCTAGCTCTGCTGTTTACAAGAGAAATAAAATTAGAAATTTGCCTGACCTTTCTGAGCTCCAATTTCTTGTTCTCAATGAAGATTATTTTTATATAAAACTAATATACTTTTGGTGTACAAACAATACAGAGAAGTAAAAAGAAGAAAAACAAAATCATTGAAAGATAATAGTTAATATTTTGATTAAATTTTGTCTTTTTAATGTTCTTATTTTTACCAAAGTTATATATCTATATTTATA